AGTCAAAATTCTAGTAGTATGCTCCACCTTCTCTAATTGACTGATGTATCGGCTCAATGTGGGATACTCGTGTATTTCAATCTTCCTTCGAAGGTACGGTCGTAGTCCTGCAATGAATTTCTGAATCTTCAATGCCTCAGTGGGAACCAAGTTTGATGATTATACGGATCGTGATAGTGGATCATGATTGGGTTTTAATTAGATTTAATTACTTGAAATGATAGATATTAAAATTTAAAATTTTATAGATGTTGGGTTTTAACCGTTTCAATGAAAGCTGAAGTTGCGAATTTAACCCGAGTCATTCACTAAGCATTGGCTTAGACGTTGTTATACAATATTTCAGGTGAAGAGTAGTATGTTTGGCAACTCGTGAACAACAACCAGAAGATAATCGAATTCCCAAACGCTTTGTTTAGTAACTGAACTTTTAAAGTATATTGTAAACGTGTGTATCTTCTTTTCTTTTCTTTTTTTAGGATTTCAACACTTTTTATGGTTTGGTATGTTTAATGTAAATTATTTTCCGTTGCGGTTGAATAAAAAAAATGTTTAAAATTTTCTACAGTTTTATATAAATAAATATTTTATTGGAATTTATCTACGGAACATAATCTGTGAATGAGACATAGAAATCGGGGTGTCACATTTTGGTATCAGAGCAGTTCTTTCCACAGAAAAGAATGTCTCTAAGATTTAAAATTTTATTTTCAAATAGAGATAAACTAATTTTCATTGTCGTCAAATACTAAAGGTATTTTATCACATACAGTGAGAATGCCTCCACGTCGTGCTCGACCTTTGATGGGAGCTGGTGGTGCACAACCTCAAGCACCCCTACCCAACGCAGGAGTGGACGAGTTGCGTCAAGAATTTCAGGAATTTCGAGACGCAATGTGGCAATTCGTGCAAGGTCATATGCCCCCACCACCGCCACCACCAGATGGTTATCCAGACGAAGGCATACAACTTCCACCTAGAGTTCAAATGCCAGTAATACCTGAAGATTACCTGCCAATCATTAGAGAACTTCGAGCCATGCATACTCCATGGTTCGAAGGATCCTTGATCCCAGAGGTTGCCGAGGAATGGTTAGTGCGAATCTCTCGGGACTTTGAGTACGTGCGTTGCCCTCTACAACATCGTGCAGAGATTGCGAGCCATCATCTGTCTGGACAAGCTCGTCACTGGTGGGAAGGAGTGATAAGGGAGAAGCCCACCGGACATCGTTTTTCATGGGAGGAATTCAAAGCCGAATTCGAACAGAAGTATTATCGAAGGCAAGACCAACATCATCGACTTGCTGAGTTCATCCAACTTCAGCAAGGAAACATGACAATCCGAGAGTATGAAGCAGAATTCACACGGTTGTTGACCTATGGTGCAAACTTGGTTCCCACTGAGGCATTGAAGATTCAGAAATTCATTGCAGGACTACGACCGTACCTTCGAAGGAAGATTGAAATACACGAGTATCCCACATTGAGCCGATACATCAGTCAATTAGAGAAGGTGGAGCGAGGCGAGAAGGAGGAGAAGGAAGAAGTCAGGGTTCGAGAACGTAGTCCTACCCGACGTTTTCCAGCTGTCAGGCCACCTGCTAGGACTGGTCAGATTAACCCTAATCGGGATAAGGGGAAGACACTGGTTTCTCAAACGCCACCACCACCAAAGAAGCCATGTGACCAATGTGGACGATTTCATTTTGGACAATGTGGCGTACCACTCACCTGTTACCGATGCGGTAAACTAGGTCATTTTGCCATGAACTGTAGAGAGGTCATCGTTGGGCAGCCGGGTAACAAGCCTATTCGTCCTCCGCCGACGAATAATTCAAGAGTCGCACCTCGTGTTTATGCAATTACCGCTGAAACAGAAGCACCGACATATGAGTACACCAACGACCAAGAGGCTAAGCAAGAAGCAGGAGAAGCAGCTGCAATTACAGGTATACTCATTATACATGGCGTTGCATGTTATACTTTATTTGACACTGGAGCAACCCATAGCTTCTTGAGTTTGGAAAAAATAGAAGAAATGAGGCCCGAAAAGATTGTCTCTATATCTAGCATTATAGTACGCACACCTGCGGGAGAAATTCTTCCTATACAAGGGGTTTTACGCACTACACATATTATTATATGTGGAAGAAATGTAGCTGCGGATTTTATTATTATCCCCCTCCAAGGATACGATGCAATATTAGGAATGGATTGGTTGATAACATATCAAGCTCGGATTGACTGTCGTCAACGAACTATTCGGTTCAATGACAACCAGGGAGAATTCGAGTTTGTTGGAGAAATGTTACAATCAAAGTATCCTATTATATCTGCATTAAAAGCTGGAAGAATGATAAAAAAAGGAAATGAGGCATTTTTGGTGGTCGTTACGGGAACAGAGGAAAACGAGACCAAGTTGGAAAACACACCAGTGGTTCGAGAATTTAAGGACGTTTTTCCCGAAGAATTACCAGGATTGCCACCAGAACGAGAAATGGATTTCTCTATCGACATCCTACCAGGAACAGAACCAATATCTAAAACTCCATACCGGATGGCTCCGACCGAAATGGCTGAGCTGAAGAAACAACTAAATGAATTGATGGAGAAAGGTTTTATCAGACCAAGCATATCACCTTGGGGAGCTCCTGTACTCTTTGTTAAGAAGAAAGATGGTACCATGCGACTATGCATTGATTACAGGGGACTCAATCAAGTAACTATCAAGAATCGGTATCCTTTACCGAGGATTGATGAATTACTTGACCAACTTCAAGGAGCGAAGTGGTTTTCAAAGATTGACTTACGGTCAGGATATCATCAGATCCGGGTCAAGTCAAATGATATACAGAAAACAGCATTTCGAACTCGGTATGGACATTTTGAGTTCATAGTTATGCCTTTTGGACTCACAAATGCTCCAGCTGTCTTCATGCAGTTAATGAATCGAGTATTCATGGATTATCTCGATGAGTTTGTCATTATCTTCATTGATGATATACTCATATACTCGTCTGACCAGAAGACACACGAAGAACATCTACGAAAAATACTGTGGCGATTGAGAGAGAATAAGTTATACGCCAAGTTTAGTAAATGCAGCTTTTGGCTACATGAGATTGGATTCCTAGGCCATGTGGTTTCGGCACAAGGGATTCAAGTTGATCCATCCAAGATTGAGGCAGTTATGGATTGGAAAACACCGACAACGGCAACAGAAATTCGAAGTTTTCTGGGATTAGCAGGTTACTACCGTCGATTTGTTGAAGGATTTGCCAAGCTGGCAAAACCAATGACTAAGTTGACGGGGAAGAATGTGCGCTTTGACTGGAATGCAGATTGTGAGAATAGTTTCTTAGAACTTAAGAAACGTCTAACTTCTGCACCAATTCTAGCGTTACCAAGGTCGGGGATACTATACGAGGTGTACACTGATGCATCTAAGCAAGGATTGGGTTGTGTATTAATGCAAGAAGGACATGTCATAGCATATGCCTCTAGGCAGTTAAAGACGCACGAGGAAAATTACCCAACACATGATATGGAACTTGCAGCTGTAGTACATGCGTTGAAAATTTGGAGATCATATTTGTATGGCGAAAGGGTTAGGATCAATACTGACCATAAGAGCTTAACATATGTGATCTCCCAAAAAGACTTGAACTTACGACAACGCAGATGGTTGGAACTCATAGCGGATTATGACCTAGAAATTTCCTACCATCCAGGAAAAGCCAATGTAGTCGCTGACGCACTAAGTCGAAAGAAGATTTTATCGGCTATACGGGTCATATCAACATCACGGAGGAATATGTGTGAGCTATCAGCTATGCTTGGACACTTGTCGCTGGAAGAAAACAATCACACTCTAAGCTTAAGAGAGAAAGTAATCTTAGAGCAACGTACTGATCTAGAACTGATGAAGTGCATCGAGGAGATGGACAAGTACAATGAGAAAGGTTATCGATTAGATGATGAAAATGCATTGAGACTCCATAACCGATTGTGTGTACCTGATAACAAAGAATTAAGACAAAACATCTTGCGAGAAGCTCATCAGTCAAAGTTGGCTATTCATCCAGGAGCTAGCAAGATGTACCAAGGATTACGATTATGGTACACATGGCCGGGGATCAAAAGAGATGTTGCGGAATTTGTGGCACGATGTTTGACGTGTCAACAAGTGAAGGCCGAACGACAAATGCCAGGAGGTAAATTACAACCACTAGAAATTCCAGAATGGAAATGGGATTCAATTGCCATGGACTTTGTAGTGGGTCTACCAATGACGCCGACAAAGAAAAATGCTATTTGGGTAATCGTGGACCGATTAACCAAATCAGCTCATTTCATACCAATACGACAAGAATATCCTGTTGATAAACTTGCTCAAATTTACGTGGATGAAATTATTCGACTACATGGTGTGCCAACTGAAATTATCTCTGACCGTGATCCACGTTTTACTTCAAGATTATGGAATGCTATTCAGAAAGCATTAGGGACAAAACTAAAAATGAGTACAGCGTATCATCCACAGACAGATGGACAGTCGGAACGGACTATTCAAACCCTCGAGGACATGTTGAGAGCATGTATTTTGGATTGGGGAGTTCCATGGGATAAATACTTAACGTTGTGTGAATTTTCATACAATAATAGTCATCACGCCAGTATTGGAATGCCACCCTACGAAGCACTATATGGGAGACCCTGTAAAACCCCGATATGTTGGACTGAGATTGGGGAAAGACGAGTGTTTGGGTCCGAAATAGTGGAGAAAACTACGGAAGTTATACGAAACATCAAAGCTAATTTGAAAGTGGCCCAAGACCGACAAAAATCTTATGCAGATCGACGGAGACGAGATTTTACAATGGAAGTGGGAGACCAAGCATTCCTTCGTGTACAGGCAATGCGAGGACATGCAAGGTTTGGACAATCTGGAAAACTTAAGCCACGTTACATTGGGCCATACCCGGTTACTGCAAAAATAGGAGCTGTGGCATATCGTTTGAGACTACCACCAGAACTGGGCAATATCCACGATGTATTCCATATATCAATGTTAAGAAAGTACGTTGTAGATCCTTCTCATATGCTACAACCACAAGAACTAGAATTCACCAGCGGTACGCGATTCCGGGATGAACCACTGCAGATCATCGATCGTAGGATCAAGAAGTTACGGAATAAGGAAATACCGCTCGTCAAAGTCCTATGGCGTAGTCAAGGGATTTCAGATATGACATGGGAACCTGAGACTGATATGTTTAACAATTATCCCTACCTCTTTAACCAAATGTTGTAATGACTAAATTATGAATTCGAGGACGAATTCAATTTATGGGAGGTGTGTTGTAATAATAATGGACTTAAGTGCCCAATTTGTTTTAAAATAATAATAATAAAAAAAAAAACACACAGCAAAATTAAATAAAAAAAAATACCCACAAGAATAACAAAAACAAAACAAAATTATGGGCTAATACCCACAACAAAAAAATATATATGGGCTAATGCCCACAACAAAAAAATAAATAAATGGGCAAATACCCATAGAAAATAGAAAAACAACAACCTAAAAATTTCTATAAAAGGAAGACATTACATACACACATAAAAAAAAACAAGAGAGAGAGATTAAAAAAAATAAGAAGAGAGATTTAAAAAAAAAAAGAGAGAGAGATTAAAAAAAAAAAATAAGAAGAGATATTTTTTAAAAAAAAAAAAAAGAGAGAGAGAAAATATATTAAAAAAAAAAGAGATTATTGCAAATTAAAGACGGTAAATCGATCAATTCTGGAGGACGCCCCATTTGAAAAAGAAAAATTCGGTGAGTGATTTGTGTTAAATTTTTTAAATTTACTATCATTGTTTTGGGTGGAAATAATATTTGGGATATTTTTTTTTTTTTTTTAAATGAAGTATGTTAAAAATTAAATCTTGCAATAATTGTAATTTTGTAAAATAATGTCTAAAAATAAAATAAAATGGAAATAAACAAATAAATAAATAATTCAAAAAAATATATATATAAATTAAAGATAAAGAGAAAATATTGATATAACCTGAAAGTTCAAATTAAAAAGGATAAAATTGTGTGGTGTTAATAATATATCGATTTAGTTCAGTTATTACGATTTAGAACGTATATAAGTTGAGATATGTTTGTGATTGAGATACCCAATGATTTGCGTAGTCAGTACCGATTGACTATATGAAGTCAGTACTGCTGCGTCAATGAGGAAATACGGTTCTTTGATAACCGCGCCAACGACCCCACTGATCCTGGGGCGGGGAATAGGCATTAAAACCTGAGATTCGGGATTGAGTGATTCTCCCGAGGAGGTGGTACGGTGATACTCTGAAAGACTCGAGCTCAAGTCTGATGAGTGTTTCCGCGGCGGATGGTCGGCGAGGGAGAGTTTCAGTGATTGGCTCTGCCCGACAGTCGATGGCGTCAGGGATTGACGTCTGGAGTGGATAAGGTTGTGTAATTCCGGTTCCGAGATATGTGATATCGGTTACCGATGGGGAGTTATGAAGATCACATTTAATCCTCACATGTAATTTGCTTGGATTGATCAATATGTGCAATGCACATAAAGATGATTTGACGGGATTATCCTATAACATGATTATACGGATCGTGATAGTGGATCATGATTGGGTTTTAATTAGATTTAATTACTTGAAATGATAGATATTAAAATTTAAAATTTTATAGATGTTGGGTTTTAACCGTTTCAATGAAAGCTGAAGTTGCGAATTTAACCCGAGTCATTCACTAAGCATTGGCTTAGACGTTGTTATACAATATTTCAGGTGAAGAGTAGTATGTTTGGCAACTCGTGAACAACAACCAGAAGATAATCGAATTCCCAAACGCTTTGTTTAGTAACTGAACTTTTAAAGTATATTGTAAACGTGTGTATCTTCTTTTCTTTTCTTTTTTTAGGATTTCAACACTTTTTATGGTTTGGTATGTTTAATGTAAATTATTTTCCGTTGCGGTTGAATAAAAAAAATGTTTAAAATTTTCTACAGTTTTATATAAATAAATATTTTATTGGAATTTATCTACGGAACATAATCTGTGAATGAGACATAGAAATCGGGGTGTCACATATAATTATGATGATGTGTACATGATTTGGAAATTATATATTTAACAAATCAACATTTTTGTTTGAGTTGACAGACGCAGAGAGATTTTGACAAATTTTTAAAAAGTTCAGGATTTTATCGGTTAATGGTAAACAATATAAGGTTTTTTCGATGATTTGGAAAAAATATAGAGTTTTTTTTTTACGATTTCTCCTATTTATTATAAAAAAACAATCCAACATAACATACCTTCTCGATTTGAGTGCCGAAAAGTGCTATCAAGGGATTCTTCTAAGAAGTTTGTAGGTTTCCCTGCACAAATTATGGATGAGAAACAGAAGATGGTCTTCCTATACATACCAAAATGGTAATTTTTAAAAAAAAAATTTATTTATGCAGGTTCCGGTAAGAAGCAGTTTGTTTAACTCCCAATCCGTACGCGAAAAGTAACACGAGATGAAGCCCAGTGCTGACCAACGCTGATTTGCAAAGTAAATAGATCAAATACCTGTAAAATTCTTACAGCATCTTGTGTTAGGTCAGCATGGCCAGATTTTGCAGGTTTCTTCTACATACCGCCATCTGAACCAAAGGGTCCAAACATTCTTTCAGCATTAACATCTGCCAAAAAAACAAAATTGAAAAAAAGAAGGGTAAAATCAATTCCTGAAGATGCCAGCACAAACATTTCTGAGATAAAAAGAAATGAAACATAACAGGCACCTTCGCCACACAATTTGCCACTTTCGTTGTACCCCCCGGTAAACATATAAGAAGAATAGAATCTAAATTGTTCAGCCAACACATAGTGCAAAAGCAGCAGCTGGAAGAAGCCAGACAATGCCCCCATTCATGGTAAAAGAACAAATGGAATTGTGTAAGCGAAAAATCAAGGCTCAAACATGATTGAGATCAATAAAAATCAACAATGGGAAGTTGATATGTAATCTGATATTTGTGAAACGATGAATTCCATAGGATATTGAGATGCCAAATGGGATAATATTTAATGTTTCGAAAACACGTTGTCATATATACAATAAAAGCCATATATACAAGGAAAGGAATCAAAATCATCAAACTGAATTTTTTCTTCTGAATAAAACATTGTGAGCATCTATATTTATTATAAAAAAACAATTCGACATACCTTCCCGATTTGAGCTCCGAAAAGTGCTATCAAGAGATTTCTTCGAAGATGCAAATCATCTTGTAGGTTTCCCTGCACAAATTAACCATCAGAAACAGAAGATGGTGCTCCTAAACATAAAAAATAAGTAATATTTTATATTAAAAAAATCATTTATGCATTTCTGGTAAGAATCAGTTTGTTTAATTTGCAACCAATAAGTGAAAAGTAACTTTTTTTTGTCAAAATGTTCCATTCATTCAAAGTAACTTGAGATGAAGTCCAAGGCTGACCTGAAACAAAATTTTCATCTGCATATAACGGTGGACCAATTTAACGTTCAAGAGAGAACAAAACCATAGAAGAGGAAAAGGAAGCTGATAAGAACCTTCTCAGATTCTGAAACACCTTCCACCACTGTGCCTGCTGCCTCAACTCCCAAGGCTGCAACTCGGGAAACCGGTTTCTTATTTCGTCTTGTTGAGCTCCTGCTCCCTTTAGCCACCATTTTCCAAGGAAGACTAGCATTGATGGTCCTCGTAAGCTCTACACCGTCAGTGCTCATCATGCTTCCTCCAAAGAATGCAATACCACCCAAGAAATATCAAATACAGCACGAGACTTGGATTTGTTGGCACTCCTAGCACACTTGACACCGAGGTTTAGGATGTCCGCATACTTCCTTTAAATGTCCTCCCCTGAAAACAATAAACTTGGGTAAGCAGACCAGCCAAAGAACCGAAACATAATGCAAGTTCACACATAAAGAGATAGTGCCTACTTTTTCTATAAGAAATATAGCATCTTCTGATCAGGATGATATTCTAAACATACTGACTGAATTCCATATTGCAGTAACCGGCCTCCGAAAATCCGATGAAGCGAAAAAGCAACAGACAAACATGGGTGCGTATGCGACTTAGACCAAAGGTTTATAAAGCATTTTCTCGCACTAACAGCACAAAAAATCAGAATCGTCTCAATTTTGAGCCGTTAAAAATATACTCCAAAGGACTAACCGCACACTTGTCCATGTAACTCTGTTACTCCCAGCAGAAACATTTCTGAGATGATAAGGAATAAAATTCACAAGGAAAACGTAAAACATAACAAGCACCTTCGCCACACAATTTGCCACTTTTTGTGGTGCCCCGGTCAGCATATAAGTAGAATAGAATCGAAGTTGTTCAGCCATTACATAGTGCAAAAGCAGCAGCTGATAGCCATTCACTCATTCAGGGTAAAAGAATCAAAGGAAATGTGTTTATGCAGAAAAGTAGCAGCTGATAGCCCTTCCCGATTTGAGTGCACAAAAGTGCCACCAAGAGATTTATTCTAAGATGCAAACTATCTTGTAGGTTTCCCTGCACAAATTATGCATGAAAAATCGTTTATGTTTTAAACAAAATCGTTTATGCAGGTTTGGTAAGAAGCAGTTAGTTTAACACCCAATCACATGATCGAGTGGTACAATGAGATCAACACATGCCCACAAATGGAAGTTGTAATGTAATCGAACATATTTCAAACGATGAACTCCATAGAATACTTAAACGTCCAATTCCGTAAGATTTTATGTTTCGCAAACCAAGTAGCACCTTGCTTTTTATCTAGGAATAAATAACAGAATGCAATTTTGTTCTCATCTAAAACAGAATCAGGAGGCTAATGTTCAACTACGGATATCAAAATTGCAACAAACCAGTCAAATGCTCTAAATAGACCTAAGATCCAACAACTGTCTAACATTATGAGAAAACATCACTCTAAACCGCGGTTTGTCATATCTCATACAAAGACTTCTTCAATAAACACATAGTCACATATATATATACATACAAGGAAAGGTATCAAAATCATCAAACTATTTTTTTTCTTCCAAATGAGACCCTTGTGTATGAAAATGAGAACATCTATATTTATTATAAGAAACAATTAAACAAACCTTCCCGATTTGAGTTCCGAAAAATGCTATCAAGAGATCTTGTAGGCCTCCCTGCACAAATTATCCATCAGAAACAGAACATGGTGCTCCTAAACACAAAAAAGAGGTAATAATTATATTAAAAAAATCAATTCTGCATTTCTGGAAAGAATCAATTTGTTTAACTCGCAACCCATAAATGAAAAGTAACTTGAGATGAAGTCCAAGGCCAACCAACGCTCATTCAAAGTAAATAGATCAAACAACTGTAAAATTCTTACAGCGTCTTGTGTTAGGCCAGCGTGGCCATATTTTGCAAGTTTCTTCTACTCACCGCCATTTGAACCAAAGGGTCCAAACATTCTTTCAACATTAAGACAATGCCCTCACTCATGGAAAAAGAACAAATGGAATTGTGTCAGTGAAAAATCAAGGCTCAAACATGATTGAGTGGTCGGTACAGTGAGATCAATGAAGTCAACAATGGGAAGATGACATACAATCTGATATATGTGAAACGATGAACTCCATAACATATCGAGATGCTCAATGGGATAATATTTTACGTTTCGAAATCATGTTGTCACTAGAACCAGAAACAGAAATCTAATGGTAAAAACTATGGATATCAAAATTGTACTCAAACTGTCAAATGCACTAAATAGACCTAAAGATCCAACTACTGTCCAACATTATGAGAAAAACAACTCAAAACAGTGGTTTAGTGATATCTTATATCACATACAAAGACTTATTCAATAACCACCTATATATACAAAGAACGGTATCAAAATCATCAAACTAATCTTTTTCTTTCAATAAGAGACCCTTGTCTATGAAAATGATAACATCTATATTTATTATAAAAAACAATTCAACATACCTTCGATTTGGGTTCCGAAAAGTGCTATCAAGAGATTTCTTCTAAGATGCAAATCATCTTGTAGGTTTCCCTGCACAAATTATCCATCAGAAACAGAACATGGTGCTCCTAAACACACAAAAGTGGCAAATTTTATAAAAAAAATAAATAAATTTATGCATTTCTGGTAAGAATCAGTTTGTTTAACTCGCAAACCCTTAAGCGAAAAGTAGCACCTTGCTTTTTATCTAGGAAGAAATAATAGAAAAGAATGAAATTTCATTGTCATCTGAACGAGAACCAGAAAAGTAATCTGTAGCTATGGATATCATTATTCTACCCAACCTGTCAAATGCACTAAATAAACGCAAGATCAAACAACTATCCAACATTATGAGAAAAATAACTCAAAACAATGATTTTGTCAGATCCCATACTTCTTCAATAACCATCTATACATACAAGGAAAGGTATCAAAGTCATCAGATCAGACTGATTTTTCCCTTTCTGAATGAGACCCCTCTCTCTGAAAAAGAGAACATTTCTATTTATTATAAAAAAAAAACAATTCAACATAACTTTCTGCCTTGAGAGCCTACAAGTGCTATCATCTTATAGATTTCCCAGCACAAATTATCGATAAGAAACAGAACATGGTGCTCCTAAATGTATAAAAGTGGCAAATTTTTTTTAACAAAATCATTTATGCAGTTTCTGGTATGTTTTAAATCACCGACCCAGTTCATCAAGTAGCATGTTACTCTAAACATTTATCCTCGTTTGGAAAAAGGAAAACAAAAGAACATACCAAGATGATACCGCAAAAACCACCATGAAATGAAATCTCTACTATAATAGAAATTATAGAATATCCAAAAAGCCAGCTTTTAGTTGCAAGAAAATCCCAAGAAAGCACCATTTTTTTTGAAATTTCAATCCTAGTATATCCTGGGAAACTAAAGCAAAAAAGACAAGGGTGACCGGGATGAAGTGGCAATTTAAAACCAAACCCACATGAAAAATAGGAGAATCGAGCGCTAAATCCACGAACGAACATAGCGTTACAGAACCCAGAAGCCCTAGAGAAGAAGTCAAGGATTATAAAAAAGGAAACGGCAAAGTATCATATCCTGAGAACTTACCATGGAAGTCCAAGGAAACATGCAAAACGAAGCAGAAATGCTAATTTCGAAACCAAACAAGGTGAAAACAACTACAACGGGTTACTTCACGAGTCTTGGCTTTTTCCGAAGATAGCTTGGAAACGATGTCTTGAGCATCACGTAGCCACGAGCTTTTAGGGCAAAATCGCCTTCGGAGAAGAGAGAGAAATGAGAGCGTGGAGGATGAATGGGGTTTTATGACCGTTAAATTGCACGTAAGACCTTTTATTTTAAACGCAATTACAATTTCGCCCTGTATTCATAATTTTATATGACCGTTGGCCACTCGGCTCCCCTTGCATTTCATTTGAATTTCGCACTGTATTTTTATATGACCGTTTTCCACCCGTTGTTATGTTCAAACCCAACTCCTTTGGATTCAAAATCAAATTTTAAGATTTTCATTCCAAAATCTTGATACATCTACATGTTATCATCATTGAACCTCTACCAGCTCACCACGTGTCATGGAACACGTGTCACCTATGCATGGCAGCAACCTAACTTATATTTATGCTCCTACCCAACTTCTCAAATCTCTCTCTTTTCGACCCCTCAACTCTTACGTTACGTTGTTCCAGGGAAAATTCTGTTTCCATGTGCAGTGGGATCATAATAACCAATGGGGAGAAGTTTGGGAACAATTTTCAAAGAGAGAAAAAATGAAGATTGGTGGGTACCGAAAGGCAAAAAAAAAAAAAAAAAAAACAAAGGGATGAATTCAGAAAGAAAAAAACCCTAATTTTTAAATTTTAAAAAAAAACATATACTTTTCATTAATTATTTTAAATCATTAAATAAATTTTTTAATTAAAAAACATTTTTCAAATTTATATTATTTAAAATGACATGGCAGTAAAACTTTAGAAAACAAAAAAAAAATTAAATCAATCATTAACACGTACACTATATGTGTGTATATATATGTATGTATATTATAATTTTTTTAATTATTTTATTATTTTTATTAATTAATATTATTAAATATTACATGGTTGGTGATGTCATTTGACTAAAATAAAATTGTAGAACTTCTAGATAAATATATAAACTTTTCTAAAATTTTATATAAATACGTATACATCCTTTAATTAAATTCCAATGACTAATATTAAATTATTTCATACTTGAAAAAATGTTTCACGAGTTGTTAGGTATAGAAAATTAAAAAAACTAAAAAATCTTCTAGTCGTTGATAATATTGTAAAATATTTAGAATAAAATGTTTTGTACTTGAAATAAAAATTCAGAGTTTATTAACACCTTTTTTTTACAAGTTATTAACACCTTTTTTCAACTAAAACATCAAATTTTGATATAAAATCTTAATAAAATCTAATAAATTTCAAGTGGTTAATAACAGTGATTAAAACACTATTTTTTTCGAAATTGAAATGACCGTTTATTAAATTTCTTTAAAAAAAAAAGAAAGATGCTATAAAAACCCTCAAATTTAAAAATAATAATAATAATTTACGTATATACATGAACACAAAAAAAAATATCGAAATAAAAAGTTGTCCCAAAATATCACAGAAATAACTAAAAGACTCCCAAATCAAACGTTGAATTCATAACATTGACACATGATTAATGGAATCAAACACCGAAAACAGCCACGTCACCAAAGGGGTCTATATACAGAAATAGATGAAGATGTTTGGTCTCCTAAAAAAAGAACAACAAACCATCAACTTCTTAGATTATTATTTTAACAAACGCAGAGAGAGAGAGAGTCGTTGAAATTTAGACTGTGGAAACACGTTTACAGACACGGACAGAGAGAGAACCATATCCAGACAACAGAAGAGAGAAACCTCAGTTGTTGTTTCATCCTCCTCTGTCTAAGCAGCAGCAGCAGCTGCTTCTGCGAAGCCAACACGCTCATTGCCAAAGTCGAACACTGTGTGGTATTTACCCATGAACACGTCTCCCAGTATCCTGTTTTTCACCACCACCACCACCACCACATTTTCATCCCCTCACCCGTTTTTTATGTGTATATATATGTATATATATATTGGCCACAGAAAAAGAGAGAGAGAGAGAGATTTACCAGAGAGGTCCACGAGGTGGTGGGACGTCGAGAGCTATAAAGCCACTGATGCACTGAGCCACTGGCCCCTCTCCCATCTTCAGTATATACTGTTACGTTATATCAAAGGCCACACCAAGATTAGATGGAACACAGCCAGTCACTTGGCATCATTACACAACCCACAGTCACGTAATAACAGCATCCAAAAGATCGTCATAAAATCCTGCTCAACATGAAATTCTCAAATCATTACGTACCTCCTCTGGTGCAAGGTCAAAGACTTTTCCTCCGATGGTGAGGGAAACGGTAGGCATTGTCGACAGTTGTGCGCAGTCAACTGCTGACTCTCCCATTGGGCTTGGCATTCTCTCACACAGCTGTTACGTACATCCGATTATTAGTATAATTCTTCCATGTTTGTGTGTAGAATGGATTTTTTAAAGGCTGTTACCTCGTTGATGTAGTTCAATATGCGATCTTGAGTCATGTTCTGCCTCAACTGGTTCTGGATCCAGACAACTGCCATCTCACATGCAGAGCATGCCGCATCTCCGAGGGCACCAGATGGTTTGGCGTTTTCCCTATCCACCACGGACTCGATGTCCATACTATACCCAAAAGGATTTAGCACCAAAAAATAAAGAAGACAAGAGTTTAGTAGATAAATAGTACAACAGCGGGGAGGAGGAAACAAAAACCAAAAAAAAAAAAGAGAAAGAAAATGAAGATGTTGAATCTTTGAAAACTTTACCTCACACCATGAGCGCCATCAAAGGTGCACAGACCAATCTGAGAGCAGATCTTCTTCGGTTGTGTCTGCAACCAGTGACGAAAAAAGTCGAGTAAACTTTATTGCGCATAACACGTGTGGTTAGAACAGGACAAACGACTGTCACCGGTTTTATAAACTAAGTGCCTCGCCAATAACGATGCAGCAGATTAAGATTATCCTTTACCTCAGCCAAAAGTAAATCCAGAATAGTTTGCCCATACTGCTCCACAACAGCCTTGCATTGCTGGCTAACAACTCCAGATGCTCCAATAGCTTTGTTTATCATGGCAATCACTGTCTATAGAACCCAAATAAAACCCGAGTCTAATAAGCAAAGATATTATGTCATCAACCGAAAGAAAACAAGAACCCGAAGGAATGTCTACTATGTCTCAATTTGTTCTCCATCCAATCACATTTGAACCTATAAGATACAAAATTCTACGAGCCACGAATCTGATTTACTGAAGATTCTAGGATAAGAGACTCAGAATGGCACAAATTCAAAGAACATATTATAGATCTATAGATCAACACTGCAGGAACCAAAACGAACGCATAGCATGTTCTAATACCATTAATCCCAATTGGAACCCAAAACAGATCAGCAAATGTTGACTACCAATATATTTTCTCATATCAGAGAATCAACGAGAAGAAGTCGGGCAGGCTAAATGCGACACCCGATCAATGCCATTCTATAAGATATGTACAAACTAAAGACCTCATCAAAGCTGTGATTCTAGGATTCTTGCTTACCGTTGGACCTGCAAGCAGAGAAGTTCCAGAATCTGCTATCGCTGAACAACCACTTTCACAGTATCCTATACAACAGAAAATCAAATGTTAAGACTAATAATTACTAGAAAAAGTTGTAAAAAAGTTTGCTTTTGAATTGTGATGGAACAGAAAACGCCTTCACGTTTCACTTCCGCTCTATTCTATTGAAAACAACTCTATGTATTAGAAAGATAAAAGGATAATGCACATACCAGTGGGTTCACCACCAATGAGAACATCACCCATGTCAAACTATAAAAAACATATATATAGTTTCAATGGGAACGTGGCTGTAAAAACATATACAAAAATTTATAATGAAACAGGACAAGAAATGATGCACGACCAACCTGCCAGTAACCTTTTTGTGTTACAGGAACAAACGTATGTTCTCCCTTGAAATGATTTGGATCAACACCTCCAAACACAAGTTCACCACCTTCTTCGTCCTCAGGATTACGGTTCAGCCAAAATGAGAAGATGGGCTCCTTGATAAGTCCTTGGTTGATCATGTTATACCTGTATGACAGAAACTTCTTTCAGGAAATCGACGGCATAGGAAAGTGGCAAGCTGAAACCAAATGCAATAGAGTCCGCATACCAAACAGGAGTGGCATTCCCAACAGAGATCTCTTGGAATCCAAGACCAAGGATACCGTCAAATTTAGCTACCAAGAATGTTATACTGGGTTCCCTGGTAGCCTCAATAAACTCCTAAAGAAATCAGCAAGGAGAAAGAGAAAAGTATGTCAAATCAGGTTGGGAGATAAACATATAAGCTGCATAGAATGGATAATATATACCTGACCCTGGACAACCAGATCACCAACGGTGACGGCATCATAACTAAAGAAACCAGAGATTGCTCCGGTGCCGTAATGAATTGAGGCAGACTTTCCTGTATCAAACATGAATGGAATGACATTTTCCAGAACTTGAATCAAAAGTGATATTGCAGTTTTTAACAATGTTGATTGCAGGAGAGCCGGCAAATATCAACCTGATAGGCAAGTAACATATTTAACTGTACCACCCCCATTTTCAGAACGAAAAAACGCTGATAAAAGCAATTACACCAAATCCTGGAATAAACTAATTCAAGAAACAACAAGAACAAGAGAGACCAAACCATTTTTCTTGTATGTGGTTGAACGAGATGACTTATACTTGTTGTGGAAGAAGCATGCAACCTGGATAATGAAAAGAACAGGTTAGCTTTGCTCCAAAAACATGTCTCCAACACACTATGCAATTGTAAGAACGAAGGCTAATGCTTACCGATAAATAACACTTTGAGGATGGAATCCAAAGGTTAGAGCTTCCTGTGTCAAAAATCACAGTGAACTTCTGTGGTGGAGTACCGATACCGATCTCACCATAGTACTGAGCGTCCAAGTAGTTCTTCAGTGCAACAACATCAGTATCTCCAGAATCTCCTAGATTGTTGTGAAAACGGAACTCTTTCAGAGAAGCTCTCAAAGCCTCTTCTTGCTTGGAACCAAGCCGTGAAGCCAGTCGGTTATTGGGATCCAACTTCAATTTTTTCAGCCCAATTCTGAATGTACCATCGCTGCGCTCGGAGGAGGCACAACAAGACAACAGGAAAGATAGCAAGACAGTGACAACAACCGTTCTACAGTATACATCCATTTGACCTATTTGTTGCAATCAAGCATCAAAAGACCAAAGGAAAAAATTAGATCCATGCGATTAACAAGCCTAAGCAAGTCACGAAATGAAAAAATCCATAAGACAACTGTTCTTCAACTTGAATTACTAGTACCATGGTAAACCCTAAACGAGTCTAAGCAAGTCAGTAACAACAACAACAATAATGCCTTAATCCCAAGTTTATTTGTGGGATCGGCCGCATAATTTTGCTTTCAAACATTTCGGTTTTGGGTAAAGTCCTCCGAAATTTGTAAACAGTAACAAAAATAAAAGGAAAATTTTACATCAGCCTATAAATGATAAATAAAGCACTTGCTAACATCACTTAATAAAAAGGAAGCCAATACAACACGCATAAATAATCGTCCCTCTTACTGGGTCCTCCTTCAACCCCAAGAAATGAATAAAGTAAAACCCTCTGACTTAGCAAAATGATAAAGACCTTGAAAACGATTATTCTTTGGTTTGAAGTTACTTCGAACATTTCATTCTGATCTGACGATAGCAGGCTAAGCGAGAAACAAAGTATACAACTTTTCCTCAATCAATGAAAAGACATTTCACCTGAGCAATTGAGCATAAATCGCAGAAAAGCATATACAGTATACAGAGATTTATCAAACCAAAACTTTCCTTCTCGTCTCCCGAATTTCATTCACAACACAAATTTTATCATAGATGAACACGACGAACCGAATGATGAAATGAAAAAAGCATATATTTGATGGTTCACCGACGTAAATAACCTGATTAAAAATAAAACCCAAAAGTGTACAAACCATATCAAAAGGAAAGAAGAAGAAAAAGCGAGGATTTTGCAATCTATCAGAAGTAGAAAAGAATCCCAATCCCAGTGACATCGCCACGAAAATCGCATGCAAATGAAGAAGTTCTACGATAGCATGAATAAGTACAAAAATAAAAAGCGAAAAAAAAAATAAAACGGAGCGATCGATCGAGAGAAGAAGAAAAACCTCAAAAACCTCGAATTGAACGAATGACGACCCGAAACGAAACAGAAAAAAAAAACAGGATTAAACCACGATCACGACCAAACAACTACGAAATCATTATCAAATTTACGTTTACAGAATCACGGGATTCGATCGAATCGGAAAAGAAGAATCCATACCGAGAAGTGAAAGAAAATGATCGGACCAAAAAATATGTGAACTCCTAGCTTCAAATGATAAAGAGGTGAGAGAGAGTCGAGAGATTTGACGAGAACTCACCGAAGAAAGCACGAGAATCTCAGAGACGATGATGGAGAAGAGGAGAGTTGAAGAAAAGGAATTGAAGCAAAGGACAGTTACATATATTAAGCGAATCCAAAAGATGACTGTGACAGAGAATGTGCTAACTTCACCGGGCTGTTGCCACGACTTTTACAGCGGGGCCCACTCATTGGGTTATCCAAAAATTAGGGGACTTTCTTTCTATTATTATTTACCATGATTAAATCTCAGCCGTTGGATTTGTTGACACAATGCATTTCTGCCGTTGATATTTTGGATAATGTTAAATCAATTTCGGGAAAAAGGATATTGAGGTGAAGAATTAGATGCTTTCGAGTGTAGGGTAAATTGCCTGCTCTTTCTGGTCATAGACGTTGATCTGGAGGATACTTTAAATTAAAACTTGGATGGTTTTGATTTTTGTTAGTAAAATCATAAAATATATATTTCGTAGATGCCGTCAGTTAAATAAAATAAAAAAACTCTGACTCAAATAATTTTCTTAAATAGTTTGAATGTGTTAGATTTTAAAATATAATATTTATTCGATATTATTTGTTTCATTAGATTCAATTTTTTAATAAAAAAATATTTATTGTTTAAAAAATAATTCTATTTTTTTGTTATTTTATATTTAATTTGATTATTAATATAATTTGAGAAAAAAATTATGTCCATCAATGTTTATATCATCCTATTATTAAGTTTAATTTTTTTTATTTAATATAACAAAAAAAAAGAAATGCACATTCCTAAAGGGTATCTGAAGAAACTACATTGGGAAATTATGAAAATTAAAATTCTGAATTTATTTATTGATTTTATCTTATTCCGAATGTTTGTATTATAATTTTTAATAGAGAATAAATTAAGCCGGGATATCTATAGCGAGAGAGTTGTTTGTCTCTGTCAACATGTGCTTTGCCTCTTTCCGGACAACAATGGGATAGAATGTTCAATGTTGACCCCAGCAAGCAAATTATATCTCCAGGTTTTAATTATGAACAAGAAAAGGATAAATTCTACAATAAAATATTAATGATTTATGTAGTATCTGTGTATTTCCACGTATTCATCTGTATTATGAATTTTTATTTAATTTTGCGACCATGAAAAAGTATGAATATCACATGTCTCATATCAAAATGTGTGACAAACTCTTCAACGTAAGCTGAATTAATCATTAAGACAGGGGATTTGGATCAATATAATGGGCCTTGAGTTAAAGTTTTATTTTATGGGAATGGGCTTTTGGAAAATAGTAATGGGCTAATGGAACAACTCAAATGGGCCTTTAGTAAACTTATTGGCCCAATAAAAGGAAACAAGTCTAATAGGCCATCGGAAACTATAATGACTAATAATGACCACGGGAAAAAAAAAGGGCATCTTGTTGGGAGAATACCTCTTTTTTTTTTATATATTTAAAAAACCCATATTTTTATTTTTAAAATAATTTTTTAATTAGATTCCTATTTTTAAGGAAAGTAGAATTTTAGATTTGCTATTTTTCTGAATTTTAGATTTGAAAATCACGAAAACTATCACTAATCAATAGTTCACTAATCAATAGTTCAATTCCAGTACTTCTAATGTGCCTGCAAAAAAGGCTTTTGGTGTTACAGTACATAATTATTTGGGATAGTATTCGAACCTTTCTAAATTGCATAACTATATTATATATCTCTAAACACCAAAACTAGCGTTTGAAACGCAGTCATCGCGATTGGAGAAGACTTGACGATGCAAAAAGGGAATTAATGGAGCTACATAAAAACTCGTTAGACCAAACGATTAAATAAATAAATAAATAACAACACAAATCCGGTATATAGTTCGAATATGTTTGTTTTCAATCGAAATCGTCGCCCTAAATAAAAATTGCATTGCATATTTACACGTAAATTCATCATGTTTTATCATTTTAACTGTCTACATAAAAATTGCATATAAGATGTGGGTATATTAGATTCGACTATAATATAATCCACAGTTGTTGAACTGATACTGTACATGACAATATTTAATCATTTAATCATGCGTTATTTTAAAGTTGAAGATTCATTGAGAAGATTATAACTTGATCATTTCCTGCATTCAAATTGCAATTCTTATCACATTAATTTATTGAATACAAAGAAAATTGAATTTACATAATTGCTGTAAACATATAATTCATAAAAACGACACATATTATAAATACAACAAAGTCGCCCTACAAAACTAAATAAATAAACATTGTCTGTAAGTGTTACGGTTTGGTTGGATTTGAGATTCCAAGATGCTCTTTATCAAACAATATTTTCTTACATTAGAAATTTAGGAAATATAAATACCGTATATATAATGAGACCTTGTTTCCATCAACAATTATTTTTTAAAAAAAGTTGATGAAATCATTTTTAATTTTAAAATATAAAAAAAAAGTGAGCAGGAGGCAATGGCTCCACTCTTTAATTTCCGCCAATGGAAATACCAACTTTGTCGTCACTGTCAATGAAAAAGGAATCTAGAAAAAATATAATATTGGAATACTAATAAAATCATAAAAAAAAAATAAACGATAGTATTATATTAGTTTAGACATATTAATTTCCATTATTTTTTATCAATTAATTTAAAAAAAATGGGTTAGTGTACCAAATATGTCATATCTTTGGAAATCTATACTTTTTTGTTATTTTTTTCAAACTATATCTTTATATAAATTTTTGACAAAAATATTCTTATTTATTGTCTAATTTCAATATTGTCATTTAACATCTCGAAAAACATATAGCATGTATATTTTTTTTTTGGAAACTGTATTATCCGGGAGAACTGTTGTTTCATCCGGAACAATTGTTTTTCATCCGGGACAACCTATTTTTTTCGGGAGAACTGTTTTTTATTCGGAAAAACTTTTTTTTATCCGAGAGAACTATTTTTCGTTCGAGAGAACTGTTTTTCCGAGAGAGATTGTTTTTGTGTGGGAGAACTGTTTTTTTGTTGAGAGAACTTGTTTTCATCCGGTAACTCTTCAAAACGAAGTTGTTTCATCTGAGAGAACTTATTTTCGTCCGAAAAATTTTTCAGAATGAACTTTTATCGTCCGAAAATGCATATTTCGGTCTGAAATCTCTTCGAAGAAAAAAAACATGTTTTGTAAAATTTTAAAGTAGGAAAAGGTATTCTTTGTATTAATTAAAAAAGTATAGTCTTCAAATTTCGAAAGTTTTCTGGTAGCTTTTTCAAAAACAACGAGGTTTTTTAGCATAGTTTCTTAATTGTCCCTTAATTTAAATAAATAAGAACAAAAACACATAGCCCTTGGCAATGTTGCTATTAAATTAGATCTCACTTGCATTCTTTCTCTAAATTTCTCTATCTACCACAACAATAACCATTATGGATAATCCAATTGAATAGCATTGGAGTAGTCTTGTGTTTGCTTAAATATAAAATTAAGAAAAAAATAGCGCTAATTTTCTATATATCTTCTATAGAATTAAACTAATATTCCCAATGTATTATTAGTATTTTCATTATTAATTTTTTAAGATTACATTGATAATATCTCATAATAATCTTGACATATAAAATAATGCCATATGCAAAACAAATTACACCCCATTTCAGCATTTTTTTTTTAAACTCTAATATATTAAATGACTGAGAGAAGGGAAGCATCTCGGATCGAGAGCAAATAATACAAAGGAGTGAGAAATTAAAAAAAAAAAGGCATATGATTGGGGAATCATGATTCATGACATCACGTCAAACTGGATTTGCACGGAAAGTCAACAACGTACCTTCACTTACTTTCCAAGCCTTGAAGATATATTATTATTCTATCCAAATAAAATAATATAATCCCACAAAATAATTTGTTTCTTCTTTTTTTTTCCAATTTTTATCATATAAAACAATTTTCGTGAAAATATTTTAATTATGTATTCAAATAGGCGAGAAATTATGAATATTTCAAATAATTACTAATTTTTATATAAAATTTGCGCTATAATTTAGATTAATTTGTTTTATATACGTGATTTGTAAATTATATTAAAATGTGGATTTTAACTGAATATCTATGTATAGAAAATTATTTCAAATTTATTACAAAATATTCGGTAAATCTCAGTAATATATGATAATGATAGAAATTTTAGATAGATGAAAATTTGTTAGCCCAAAATTGACTAATATTCTCAAATTTTATTGTTTGAGATTATCGCATATCTTTGCAATATACACTATATTTATTTTTAGCATTATGGGAGAAATTATTTTTAATAAAGGTATTCCAAATCTATTCATTTCGTATATTCAATTTAAACGATATAATATAATCTAATAGTCACAATGTATTGCAAAAAAAATATATATCTAATTCATTTCTTCCTATCAATTTTCTTTATTCTTCTTGGAAACTAATTTGACCCATATATATTTTCAATTAATTCTCCAACTATATTATTTTTATTTCGACCTTTCTTTTGTATGGATTTCCGGTCATTCATTCAACACGTAGTTCTAGGAAGTTGAGATATTTAGGTGCCTTTAATGGGCAGTAATTACGTGTCGACTTCTCATAGCCGTATTTATTGACCCCGGCAATTATTTTTGCGCATCATTTACATACGTATATTTTGATTTTTATAATATCATAGTCTCTATCTGTTACTTTGTAATTATTAAAATAATACCCTCAACGGTAATTCACAAGATTATCCAAAACTTGGGAAATGAAAGATGAACGGTATTTACTTGTTTTTTTAATTAAACATTTCAAAATAAGAACCAATGAGACCGTCCATGTTTCCTTCAAATAGCTATCCAATGCAAAAGTAAGAAAAATAAATAAATAAATTATAAATGTCGATCTAAACTTAAAAATATTGAAAAATGCTTTAAAACATTTTTTAAAAATAATCCGTTATTTTTTTTTCCTCCTATTGAATTTTGGGGTTCCCTTCGCCATCTTGATGACTAGATCCATTGATCATAGACGAAATCATGGTGGCTAGAGCCGCTGTGAAATTCGGATCTTTGGTGAGTGCGTTCACCGTATCGACCAAAGCATACGACGGAGGAGCGATCTGACAACCGTCAAAATTGCCGGAAAACTGAACTCCAGAGAACTTGGATTGGTTATACAGAGTCCGTCCTACGACCTGAGGCAGCAAATTTGGGGGCAAATTCATCATTTGCTGCGGCGGTGACCGAACCAAAGGGTGGTTCCCGGGGCCCGATGGAGGCGGGGGCGCGTGAGTGAGGTCTAATGTCACAGTGGGGAATGGAGCCGAGGCAGAGATAGTGGCTATGCTTGCGGTGGAGGAGGAGGAAGGTAAGATGGCTCGGGCTAGCAAATTGGCGGGATTCATGAGGCCTTCGTGGCTAGACGTCGAGCCCGAGAGCAACATTGTCGCGGCAGCCGTGGTGGTTGAGGCCATTGCCACCGCGGCTGGTGGCAATGGGTGGTTGTGGTTGCCCTCGTATGTTGTTATCAATATTGATTTGTCCTCCGCACATCTTTGGACCTATCCAAAACACATGTTTTTTGGGGATTTTAGAATTGACATACTACTAATACAAAATATATGAATTTTCATGCAATTTCCCCATACATAAATGTTTTTTTTTATAATTTTTATTAATACATAAATTTTTAAAAATTATACTGGAAAAAAGGTTCATTTATTTATTGAAAGTTTTTGATAAAATTTATTTTTTGGAATTTTTTATTTTTTGTAATTTCTTAATGGCATCCATAATTTACAAATTTTCACCATCAATACCCAATTGTATCCATATAGTTGAACTTTTTGATCGGATCACTGAATCGTAAGGAGAGAAGAAAACTTACTTGTTTACGAACGGGACAACCCGTGGCCATCGTGCAACGGTAATAAGCCCGAGGACATGGATTTCCTTTCGCCATCTTCTGGCCGTACTTTCGCCATTGACATCCGTCGCTTATCTGCGGAGTGGATAGATAATTAAAAAAAAAAACATATATCTGTTATAATATATATATCGAGACGAAACCAATTGAAAAAGTCTTCTAACTATAAAGAAATGGACTTTACCATTGGAGCTTCTGACCGAGCACGAACAGAGACACGAGCTTTTCTCATCATGGCCTCACCGGATTGATCTATTTGAGGGTTATTGTTAACCTTCTGAAGCTTATTCGGCGAGTTCCACAAGCTTCTCGATTCGGTTTCTGGGCTTTCTTCTTGTGCAAGTCTCTTCTCTCCCCTTGGATCGTTGTCCCTTTCAAGCTCAACATTGTTTTCCGGTGACCTACGTCTCTCCTCCAACATAGAATTCGATTCATCGTCCGCCCTCGAAGGGCCTGCACCGATGCACTGACTCTCCCATGGCTTTCCATCTATCACCTAATGAATCAGAGTTTAGCAAGATTAAAAGACGTGTTCTTATATAATTAAAATCATATGAATTTAATCTATATCATATTAATTACTTATTGCGTTATGATTCAGGATTAGTATTGATTACCTTGTTTGGAATATTCCGCTGCCGTTGCATTAGTGCAAGTTGCGTATGCAATGAATTGTAATTCTTGGTCACTTCATCAAGCATTTCCTTGAGCTTTCGATTCTCAGAGTTCATTCTCTGCAGCTGAACTTGCAACTCGGCCACCTAAAAGACCCAAAAAGAAAATTCGATTTGATATATAGGATTAAAATTTGAATTTAATTAACTGATTAGAATAGTGATGATTAATTGGAAATTACATCGTTTTTGGCTCTCCTCTCTTCTTCTGTATCCGAAAACATTCCGTCATCGACCACCGACTGATCACTCCCGGTGTTGTTATTAGCCGTCGTTAGGAGATTCAATCCAGTCTATTTCCAGAAAACAAAGAAAAAAAAAATACAAATCCATTACATAAAATGACAAAAAAAAAATTCAAGAACTCACGGTATGGTATAAATCTCCGATTCATACTCACATTTACATCGGTACGATAATCTTTATCCTCTTCTTTGACTCGTAAACAATCGTCTTCGCCACAGCGTAAAACCCTAGATTTATGGTCGGAGAAAAAATCCACTTCGCCAGGAACCTTCCGGTCGTTGTCGCCGGAGGAAGAGTTAAGTTCGTATTCCCGATCCCGAAAGCCGGAGATACTCACCGGAAACCTAAACATCTCCGTCTTCTGATCAGCGTCAGCTACCGGAGAATCGGTGAATTTCCCGTGACTGTTAGAGCTTATGAGATCCGGAGTCGACGAATCGAGCGTGAGACCTCCCCATCCTCGGTCCATGAAATCGAAATTCTGAATCTGAATCTGAATTTGAAATTCGAAGAAGAAGGAGAGGAGTTTTTAGAGAGAGAAACTCCGAGTCCGTGAAGTCATTTACCAGAACATTAAGCTCTCGTATAAAAAGGGTTTAGATGATTCTTTCTACCCTTTGGGATATTTTTTAAATAAACCATTTATGTGAATATTACGTCAGATGGCACGTCAGCTTCCGGGTTTACCCACTCGATAACCCGTTTTCTATTTGTTTTCTTTCCTTTTGGGAAATGCTAACTCTATTTCTTTTTGTAAACAGCTGTACTGTTTCTTCATAAAAAAAATAATATATTTATTTATATATGTACATATAGTAAAATGTATAATCACTTATACCTTACATATGTTATGCATAAATGCGAATTTCTCACTATATTTTACTAAGTTTTGAGATATATATACGCAAATCTATTCTAAGTAAAGTTTTTAAATCTATTCTAAAATGACGTTAATTTTTTAGAAAATACAAGTCGAGCATAACTTGTATTTTTTTTTCTTAAATGGACGATTCAGATATTGTTATATATATAAGAAAAATGTCTAGTCATGCAAGTAAATTGGATCATCTAAATTAAACATCTGATTTTTTTTATCACGGAAAATAAGATATACGTATATGCATATATTAAAAACATATTCTTTTTTTTTTTGGTCGTTAGCTAAGGTTGAACTATATAATTTGTCATATTTAGGCCTAATTTGAAGACAAGGAATTATTGCCATCCGGTTCCGGATCTGGGTCCGGTCCGAGGCTGATTTGCTGATCAAGTCGACGAAAAGTTTGATCCACCTCCCCGAATACTGCGCCGCGTCCCACGTGATTACTTCCCTTTCTATATTATTAATTATTATTACTATTTATATTTAAAAAAAAAAGGAAAAAAAAACAATCAAAGAGAACTAAGTCAACGAATTTGACGGTCCGGCTACCGGTTCCACTGGTCCTCCTCGGGTCTATTTCTCTTGGCCCATGCGTTAGGAAGGAAACGTTTTTCCAAAAATTACATTTTGACCCCATACTTTCAATACATTGAACATTGAAGGGTCATATTTCTAGAATTTTCAATAAGCCCTTGATTTCGGAGCTGTCATTTGAGAAAACAATGCCTTTTCCTATCCTTGGAACGACTTTTTATACGTTGTTTGTTATCCGATACTAATTTTAAGTAATTTGTGGTTATTGTTTATGATTTATTTGCATAAATTATTCAAAATAAGAAATGAATGTCAATTTAAAAAAAAACTAAATTATCTATAAATATTCTAAGTTCTAACCATCAAATCTATGAACTCAAATGATATTTTTCACCATTCGATTTCCCCCCACATATTTATTTTAAATTTTTTTTGAGAAAAACTGTCATTTTCAAGTATTCAATAATTTTCTAAAAAATATATATTTCATGGACTTTTGTTATGTATTTCCGAAATGTTGTAAAATAATTATATATTTTAGTCAAGATTTTCCACTATAAATAAATGGACCGGAAAAAACGCACACGTCTTCGCACTTGACAGATCATTCTACTTCATAATTTTTAAGATAATTGAGACATTTAGAATAATGATTAAATGAATAATTTTGGGAGTTGAAATTCAGAGTATACACGCAAAAATTTAATAAAATAATTTTATAGATCTAAGAGATTTTGGAGAACATGTTGACGGTCCACCTGAACGACCCAGTCGCTTGCTTTGACTTTTTTTGGCTGTTTGTTTGATCTTCCACTCCCTCCTCCACCGCACGAATTATTAAATAATTAATTGATCGTTTTTGTGTCTCGCTATTTTCAAACGTCTATATATAAATTTTTGATCAAATTAATATAATTTAAATTAAATATGAAAATATGAAAAACGGAACTGATACATAAAAAGTTGAGTAAATATAATTTTAAATTTGAAAACCAGATAATTAAAAACAAATCAATATGTACTCCAGTCCATTGTGTTAATATCATGTGAAGTGTGACAACTAATTATTTATGCTTCTTTATTTATTCATTTATATTTTTGGTTTTCGAATTTCTTTTGAATATTATTATCATCAATAATATAAGTTTACCTAGTAAAAATATGAATAAGCTCACAGATTCACAGTCTGGATCCATGGTTTTGAAAACTATATCTTATCTTAAATATATAAGATGTATATTTGGTTTTTTAATTTTGTTTAGATGATTTTCTAGAATGTTAAAAAATTAAAAAAAAAAATACAGAGCAGACATGTATGATCTTCATTATCCTTTAATAAATAATATCTGATTTAATGGTTGATATTAATTTTAATAATTTAACTCAGTTGTACATTTGTAGCTATAGTAGATAACTTTTTTTTAGAAAAAAAACTTTCATTAATAAGATTCATTTGCAACATCTAAAGCCAAGATAACAAAGACGAGAATTTAATTCTTTTTAAATAATCAATAAAAAAAATCAAGTTTTTTTTTATTACTATTAAATGACGGAAACGAGTACGTTTCTCAACTTGTATTATCCTTTTTAATTATTTTTAAAGGAAAATTATTATTTAAGAGGGAGGAAGCAGCCTACTAAACTACCATGATCTCATTCAAACCGAAAACAAAAAAAAATAAATTAAACAAAAAAATCACAGACATAATCACAGATTAAATTCGTCATAATATAACATTTTATAAACAAATAATATATTAAGAAAATTTCATTAAAAAACAGAGCTGTCTGAGATATTCGTTGACCAATTGCCCCGCACGTGGAAGTTTGCATGACGTAGAAATTTGTGGTCCGTAGTTTGGGTTTACAAGTAATTTGTTGTTGCTTTTCACACTGTTAAGTCTGTTATCGTATATTTATTTTTCTAATTTAATTTTCTTTTCGTTTGTTTTTTTTTTATTTTTATATTCGGTTCATATTAATTAAAAGTAAATTAATTTATTCTTTGAAAATAATCAATCGGTTTTCAGGTTGATTCAATGTTATGCTATAATAATTTAAAAAAAAAACATGGGGAAAAAATGCAGCTAATGTTACTCTTTAGCATTTTGTTCTTGCAGCATGTCACAATTAATTTTTTTTTCCACTAAGTAGATTTTTTTCTCATTAAATTTAGAAATAAATCGAATTAAATATAAGGAAAAATGGTGTCCTATATATATATGATATATGATATATATACCTTTTTATTAGGCAATGTTTCCTAATTGGCTGCTGCAGCATTTGCAATAAGGTCAACTTGAGGGGAAAGTGACCACAGGAAACATAATCTACAAATCGGTCCAAATGTTTTTCCAAAAGTTGGAAATGTAAGAACAGTGGAAACTTCAAAAGTTAATATTTTTTCTTAGTATTTGACATAAAAGTTATATTCCGAGTGATTAATATTTATATTCCTAGTATTTCTTTTATCTTGATTCGTCTAATCTTAAATGGTTTTTATTTTTTGTAATATAGATTTTGATATTATACTGAGATCAAATTAATCAAATGTTTGAATGATCTCGTTATCAAACTCGGTATTTTTTTAAAATTTTAAAATTAATTTCCGCAAGGTGTCAAACTTGAAATTATAGATCCGTATCATGCTTATGTCGGATTTGAACAAATGTGTGTGTGTGTGTATATATATGTATGAGGGCACGACAAGGCAAATGAGGACAAAGGGATCAATGACGGGAGAAGAAGGAAACCATTTCCATCAACTTTGACTAACTTACACAAGCAGGTGATTAAAAATGATATTTGTTTTTTCATTATTTCTCTATGTATTACCATTTTCATTCGACATTTTTTTTATTTTCACGGGAAATATATATATAAAAAATATAGACGTAACTAACATATTGAATTTTTTTATTAAAATTAATTGTATAAAAAATCAGAGTAGATTTATCGTTTCGATCAAACATACGCTCCTGCATCTATTTTTATGAAAATTTATTTTAGTATAACATAAAAAATCCATAAATTTGTATAACATCATTTTGTCATTCTATATAACAAGCATGATTGAAATGTAAGTGACAAGAAAATAATTCCTACCCAAAAGTATGTCATCTGTTTTTTTTTCTGCTACCAACCTTGTAATAAAATTTCTACATTAACATTTTAGCCAAATATGCAATCGTGACGTTGTACATTTTTTTTAATATCTTTTCACTTTTTTCTCATTAATAAAAAAAAGATACTTTGATTATATTCGCTTTCTAGAAATTTTGGTTAATTTCGATCATCATCATAATGGACGTCGACAGAAAGTTCATGGATTCCGTACCACGTTTTCTAATGTTTTTACCGACTTTACAAAATAAAAAATAATAATTTTGGACCAAATTCATTGGATTTTGTCTGCCATTTACGACTTCCCTTTAGAATTAAAACGGGAAAATGGGCAAAGATTCTTGTTTTGTGGATGAAGATTATACTCTCTTGGCAGCAAACTTTCGTCCCCTTTTGAATTCTTTGGCTGTAGAAAAAATGTTGCAAAAAAAGCTAATTCATTATATATTATTATATATGAACTATTTCCAAATCCCGCAAATGGTATCCATAATCTAGATGAACAAAAGAGAGATCGCAGGGCACAAAACGTAATATAAAATTGATGAGAATTTCCGCGGTATGATGAATAATATTTTCGGTTTATATTTGGAGAATACATATAGAGTTAATAATTTTATTTTAAGATTTATATTTGGCATATGTTGGGATTAAAATTCTCTCAAATGATTTCCTACGTCTGGATTTAGCCATACATATAAATATATGGGAACTTAATTCCAATTATTTATAATACGATTATGTTTAATATTAAGATTTTGATAGTTTGTTTGGTAACATTAATAAAAATAAATAAATCTTTAGCATCAGCGACTTCATTGATTTGAGATGTCCATGTGCCCCCCACTAAAATTATTTTCTGGATTCGTTCCTGTAGAATACAATAACTTTGTTAAATAATATTTGACAAATATTATATGCAAACTCTTGAAACTATGTGAAAATTATACAATCCACGAATACTTGAAATGTTTGATTTAGACAAATATTTTTTTTTGGGATTGTGTTGGGAGATAGCCCATAATCATAACTCAGAACAATCATATATTAATTTATTCAATATCAATTCTGAGTTTGGAGATTAATATCTCAAACTTAATTGGTTTTTATTTAATAAAATATCTAAAGTTACTGCTTCCCCTCAATATCCCATTATTAAAAAAATGCAATTTTCTCGAGAATCTAGATTCTATTAAAGTTTCATGATTTTAGGAAATGGCCGAGACAAGATCCATACTGCCATTGTTAATGGGCCTGTTATTGGGCCTGGACCTTGTCATGGGCTTCAAGTGATATGGTCCCATATGTTCCGTGACAGCGAAAATTATTGGATGCTTTGTCTCTCTGTCATAAGTTGGACCGACTACAAAAATTAAAAAGCAGAAGATAAAATTAAAAAGAAACTATATTTTATAACACGGACATTACTAATTCTTAAACCTACTCTTCACATTTTTATTTCATCTATCGGTTTTTTGGTCTTTTTTGCATTTGTTGTTTCTTTTTACTATGATTGAAGTTAGTTGGTTGCCTTCCAGGTTTCCTTTTGATTTTGATGTTGTTTCTGTTTTTGAGTAAATTATTCATTTCTTTAGGGTAGATCCGATGATGGGTCTTTCTAATTCTCAAGTAGGGGTGGGCATTTCGGTTATTAACCGAATAACCAAACCGAACCGAACCGAATAAGAGCGGAGCGGTTATTTACTTAATAACCAAGCGGTTGAGGAAGTTAAATAACCGTTCGTATTCGGTTCGGTTCGGTTAATAACCGAATAACCGCGGTTAACCGAACGGTTATTGAGTTTTTTTTAATATTTTAATTTTTATCCTCATTATTATTAGTATTATTTTTTTATACTTCACTTTTAACCATATATATTTCACCCAATAAACCATAAAATGTAATGTTTTTAACTTTTATCCTAATTATTGAAGTTTTTAGATTTTTTTATAATTTTATTTTACATGATTAATCATTTTGTGCATTTATTTAAATAGATATTTTGAAATTTATGTAGGATTAATAATTTTTTTTTAAAAATATATCACAACCGAACCGAACCGAATAAACCGAAAAATATAACCGTTTGGTTATAAATTTATTATGCAAAAACCGAACTGAACCGAACCGAAACCGAACTGAACCGAACCGATTATATCTATATAACCGTTTGGGTATGATTTTTTTTATAACCGAAATAACCGAACCCAAAATAACCGAACCGAAAACCGAACCGAAACCCGAAATGGCCACCCTATTCTCAAGTATGAGTTTATCAAATCCTAATACAAATTGTAAATTTGAGTATTGGATAAAAAATTTTATAGTTGAAAGTTTATTTGTGTATTTTAGCAAATCAGATGGGTTTTTTTTAGAATTTTCCTTTATTTTTTTACTCGACTCCCGATCATTGCCATATAATAACGACACACAGTCTATTTGCTACATGTACATTTTGTTTCCGAAAAACGGCACGCAGTCTATTTGCTACAAAACGCTGTGTTTCCGCTAATGAAGCGGCGAGAAACCGAGACCACAAAGGGACGGAAGCTTCAATGAACGATCTCGAAGAACAAGAGAACTGCAAGAGCGAACAGACAACGGACGTGTCGGAAGCAGTTATGTCTGCGGCGGCGACCGACGGCGTTGCTGCGGCGGCGCTGCGATCGGTGATTCAGCGGGTGAATCAGGCGGCCGAGCGAGCGGGTCGCGTGTCGGATCGGATTCGGGTCGTGGCGGTGAGCAAAACCAAACCCGTTTCTCTGATTCACCAAGTTTACGATGCCGGTCACAGGTGCTTCGGCGAGAACTACGTCCAAGAGCTCGTCGAGAAAGCTCCTCAGGTTCTCTGCGTTTTCTTTTTCATTTTCGAGAAATTTTCCATCCCTCGTTTGGTTTCCGAGAAAAAAAGGGTGCGTAAATCTCGGGAAAATCGAAAATTTTGGTTCGGTGAAGTAGAAAGCCTGAAGCTTTTTATGTTGGGTTTTGCAGCTTCCTGATGATATAGAGTGGCATTTCATTGGGAACTTACAGAGCAACAAAGTCAAGCCTTTGCTAAGTAAGAATTCTGTTCATGATTCTTATGTTTCTTTGGTTTGATACGGCTTGATTCCTTTGAAGATGAATGATTCTTATGCTCATTGGTTCTATATGATCATCAGTCCCTGAATTGGTTCAAGTTTCAGTGACACTTGGGCGAAATTCTGTTTTTTTTGTTTTGTTTTTCTTTGTGTGGGCATTTAATGTGATGCATTAGCCAAGGAAAGAAAAATATAAATTGGTCTTACTAATGTTTTCTCTTATGGTTTATCACTTTTTTGTTTGTTTTATCAGCGGGGGTCCCTAACCTTGCAATGGTGGAGACTGTAGATGATGAGAAGGTGAAAACTCTTCACCTATCTTTTCATGGAGAAGAGCTTATAGGTTCATCATTCATGGCTTTAGTCTGGTTCTGTTGGTAACGAGAATCCCATGATGGAGCTTTTAGGTTGCTTTGATTGCGAATGTTTTGGAGACTTTAGGATGATTTCTTTGCAATTGTTATAGAATTCCTCCAAAGTGTTTGGAAGAATGATCTTTCAATGGCGATCCTGCAAATAGTTAAATCCGTCTTTAACGAGGTCAAATACATGTTTAGATTGCAAGTCTCCTTGATCGTGTGGTTGGGAATATCGGGAGAAAGCCCTTGAAAGTCTTGGTCCAAGTGAACACCAGTGGTGAAGAGTGTAAGAATCCGAAACCCGGGATTTCGTTTTTCAAATTTCGTTGCCGGACATGTTAAAAGAATTGTTCTTTTTCCCATTTTTTAAGGGATGTGACATGATCATCTTGCAATGTTTTCCAGCTAAATCGGGGGTTGAGCCTTCAGGATGTGTTGGACTCGCGAAACATGTAAAGGAGGCTTGTGCTAACCTCGAGTTCAGTGGCTTAATGACAATTGGGATGCCAGATTACACTTCAACACCCGAAAATTTCAAGGTTATGATCTTGAAAAAACCACTTCTCTCACTTCTGCAGGAAATTTACGAGCTTTTTCTCATCGATATAACTAATTTTCAGTATATATTATGGAGAAAATATCTTATAAATACACGAATTTGTTACCTCCTACTAGATTGATATACGAACTTTAAAATTTCCTAGAAACTATACAACGCTTTCCCGCTCCTAGTTAAAATCATGAATTTTACAAAAACTTACAAAAGAATCCACAGAATTTTAAGGGGTTCCCTAAAAACTACATTTCAACAGAGAAACGACGTCAAATGTCATATAGTTTTTTCGGATTCATTGTAAAATTTATGATTTCAACTTGAAGTCGAGAAAAGTCCGAATGTGTTTTCTCGGGAATAGTAAAGTTGATGTGTGAATTTGAGAGTTGGTAACAAATTCGTGTATTTATACACAATTTTCTATATATATATATATAATATATAATATGTTTCTTGGGTGTAAAACCTTGGTAAAGATTGAGAAACTTTCTTTGTTTGTCTGTGAGCAGACATTAGAGAAGTGCAGAAGCGAGGTGTGCAAGGACCTGGGAATTCCAGAGGATCAATGCGAGCTATCAATGGGAATGTCTGGTGACTTTGAGTTGGCCGTAAGTTCATGTTACATAATGTGTGGATATAAGAGACTGAGAATTCCCCTTTTAACGCAAAAAAAAAAAAAAAAAATTGAAATTTGGGTTACAGATTGAATTGGGAAGCACCAACGTGAGAATAGGATCGACCATTTTCGGGGCAAGAGAGTACCCGAAGAAGAAATGACGCCCCATGCAACCAAGTTTGTGTGAGAGATTTATGATTCTATTCAATCAATAGGTTTGTCGTATCATATCATAGCATATGCATGGTTGTTGTCATGTTAACATGATGCATGATTAGAAGGAGAATCATACTTGTGAAGAAGATTAAGGGGATCTTTTTAGTGTTGTTGATCCATACACCACTTCTAGATATCCTTTTTTTGACAGTCTTTTCGTCACATGTAGCTGTGTCAAACGGGTCGTCACGGGCTGGTCCGGTCCGAATCTACATTCGGCTTTTAGATTTTAGATTCGGGTTTGGACCGACCCGAATTTTTTTTTTCAGGCCTATACAACCGAACCCAAAATCTAGCCCTATAAAATTCGGGTCGTCTCATTCAAATCTTTTTTAGATATTTTTATTTTATTTTATTTTATTTTATTTTATTTTATTTTTTAAATCGAGTTTTCAGACCGACCTGAAACCCGATTGAAAACTCTGAACGATTTTTTCGGATTGATAAATTTTACCCCGAAAATCCTGATATTTTTTGGAGTGGTTTGAATTGTGCTTTCGAATTTTGTATCAAAATTGACACGCTAATTACATATACGCTAATTACATATGATACAAAATGTTCACGTGGTAGGGCTACACAAAATTATCCAATGTATCCATATATCCAATTTTTGTATATTCGACTTTATTTAAATTGGAATTTAAATCTGGATTTTTAAATCTAAATCTAGATAACATGATTTTGGAAATGGAGGATCAAGTACCCGCAAGTATTTGAATATTTTTTCTATATACAATTATATATTTAAATATTTATAAAATATTATTCTTTTGGTTAACAATTTTTCATTTCTCGATATTTTCTCAAAACACACAAAATTCGTTTTTCTTTCTATCTCTAACTAGTCCTCTCTTTCATACCTATATCACAATTCATCTCTTTCTAAAATTATATCTTTCACTCTTTTTTTTTAGTTTTTATATATAAACACTGTTGTTTTTAATAAATCTGGATCGGATAAGTGCTAATATTCGAATATTGTTTCGAATACTCATATTTCGGATATTCATAAAATATGTATTCAAAGATAAATTTCGAATGAGATATCCGAATATTTGGATACAAATTTAAATACTCAAAATTTTCTAAGTATCGACCAATGTCCACTCTTGTTAGGTGTTACGAGATTTTAGAAAATAGTATAAAAGTATCATACAAACTAAAATCTATAGAAACATACAATATATGAATAACAGCAAATAAATTAATATTGACAGCGAATAGAATTCTAGGTTTCTGGACTAATAACCTCAAAATTGCCTAGGGGTTTCTTTAATTCATAAAAAGTTAAGGGTCAATCATAAATAATTTAAAAGCATTGGGGGTGTACTTCTAGGTTTTTAGACTAATAAACGAGTTTAAATTAGAGATATTTATCCAAATTTTTTTATATTTAAAAGACAGTTGAAATAAAAGAATAGTGTTTAACAACCGCAACCATTAAAAAGAAAATAAAAAATATGTAAATTTTTTTATGTAATATTAATTTTTGAATGTGTAGGTGCCTATTTATTTCCGAATTTATATTTTTGAATACAATAATTACTAAAATTGTATTTTTTTAACACAATAATTCTTTAACTTATAATTTTTTAACACAATAGTTTTTAAACTTTGTTTTGAACGATTATAAAACTATTAAACAAGTTTAGAAATTACTGTATTTAAAAATATAAATTTAGAAATAAATAGACGCCCACCAACAAATTCAGAAATTAATATTACACCAAATCCAAATCACAAGTTTAGAAATTTTCAGATATTTTAATCTTAGAAATAATATTGGCAATAAATGGAATTCTAGAGCTAAGGCTTAAAAAAAGCATGAAATTATTTAGGGGGTTTGTTTAATTAAGTACAATATTGGGGTTAATCATAGAGGATCTAAAAGTGTGGGGTCTGTGATTTAAATGTAGCGTTGATCTCTAGGATTAGACATAATTGAATTAGGTTACGACAAATTAAAAACACAAGAAAGAGAAAAGAAAAGATGCTCACTGAAATTCAGACACTCTCTCTCACTCTCGTCAAAAATGGCACATCTTCCGCTTTCTTCTTCACCATAATTAACCAGTTCTTTACACGTCGCTCTCTCTCTCTCTAGACAAAAGCAGAGGGAGACCATAAAGTTCGGAACTTGTTAATGGCCGAGGAAAGACCCGACGAAGAGGATCCCGAGAGCCGCGACACTCGGGTCTCGGACATGATCCTCGGTAGTTCTCCGGCTCTGTCGCCGCGCCTTGGTCCTACCCGGTTCTCTGTCTCCGTCGGCGACAAGCTCCGAGACGGTGGATGGGATTTCGGGTCGATTTGGTATGGGATTTTTGGGGATCCGAATTCGAAGAAATCGGTTAAGCGAGGGAAGAGGAAGAGAGCCCGGGCTTGGTACCGGAGGAGAACGGCTCAAACCGTTATCGGCGTGATCGCTTTGGTCGGATTCTTCTTCTTTGTGAACTGGTTCATGCTCTCCAGGCTTCATGATGGTCGGGTTTGGCTTCGGAGAGGATTTTTGAAGAACCCTGGAGCAGGCTCTAACCGGGTTTCGGTCAAAGTGTCGGCGTCGGTTCA